TCTAAGGTTACACAAAGCGATTCAGGTCTGAACTGTAACAATTACTAACAGATTTCATTTAAGGTTACACAAAGCGATTCAGGTCTGAACTGTAACAATTACTAACAGATTTCATTTAAGGTTACACAAAGCGATTCAGGTCTGAACTGTAACAATTACTAACAGATTTCATTTTAAGGTTACACAAAGCGATTCAGGTCTGAACTGTAACAATTACTTAGCTGTGTTTCAAGCTAGTGAAACTTCAAAATAAAGAACAACTGCTTTTTGTTTTCTTTATCTTACTATAATGGATGTAGCTTGTATGTCAGTGTCTATGTATGTAACCAAATCTTCTGCGCCATCTATTGAATGGCAAAAATTCATAAAAATTACACACTTTGGGTATTCAAGATTCAGACAATTAAAAAAATAACTGTGGTACGTGTAACAACCATTTCTTTATAACTGAACAAAATTTTAAATAAGAACACAATTTTCACTAGGACTACATGTGAGAGTTTGATTACATCTTTATTGATGTAATTTTTAAATATAGTACTGAGAAACTGGAGTTCTTAAAAAATTATTTTTTCAAAAAATGGTACCACTTTTAATATATAAAAACATTACAGTTTATATCAGTAGAGTTTTTGAAAATTTTGAGCTCTGTACATTGAATCATGATTAAGAACACAATCAAACACTTTTCCTATACAGTATTTCCCAGAAAAAAAAATCAATTTTTTAGAAAATGCTCATTTCTCTAAATTTTTTTCAATGAGGTACGAATACTATGATCAGGGCGGTGTTTCTGCTAGTAAGAGCAATTGTAATATTAATTCAGATAAGTAAAACACTTTTTTAAAAAGTTATTCCAAATTTGGCAAGGAAAATAAACTTTCTTATTTTCAGCTAGTCTATATTTTATACAAATATGTCATGTGAAAGATAAATACAACTTTAAAAGTGCTGGTTATATCTATTTTTCTTCTCTGTTCAAATTGTTTTTAATTTATGTGACACGTATAAGGGAAACTTAATAGTATATACTCTAGGTAAGACATCAGCATGCATACTCACATCAGCCTTACTTTGCTATCATTCACTCTTAGTTCAAAACTCTCAAAACATTAGACATATATATATGGATATGAGCCAAGTCATAAAGTGCAAAACACATAAAAAAACTTAGATATTTACAATATGTATATTGAAAAATTTGCAATTAGACTGATACCAAAACAAACTGCTTCTTCTAATTCTACATTTTCTGGTTATTCATATTTTAAGATTAAGAAATGAACTTATACGAACAAGACTAAACAATTTTAAAAATCATTTACATTCCAAACATTAATAAATCTTTACAACTGAAATCTCTCTCTCAATGGAATACCCATTTTGTGTAACTACATCTAGCTGAAGACATATTTTATCAGAACTGTGAAGTTTTCCTTACCGGCAATTGAGTATCAAACACAACCAGTTTAGCACTAATGGGAATGAGGTCATAACAGCAGAAATGTTGAAAAAACTTGTAAACTATTAGCTCTTCATCCTCTCCTGTGTAAATAACAACAACAAAGTTAAAAAATTTTAAAACGTCAGAAAATAATGTTGTTTAACTGTATTCTTACTCTAAGAAAGTGAAGCTAAGAAAGGTAGCTTTGCTTTGAGTATAAGTTTATTCGTATGAAACTTATCACAGAGGTTGATATTCAACTGTATAATACACACAGTGCTAGATGCGAGATTCCACAATAATTTTGTTTTTTAATTTTTTGCTTATAATGCTGTATTTTGTGTCTTGATCGTATTTGGTCAAAACAAATTTTAATTTTGACCAGTTTTTATTTCATATCTAAATTTACGTCAGAGATATTGGAGCTAGATTTTTTCATTTGTGTAATTATACAAAATCATACTAAAATTAAAACAATTTAGAATAAGTAGGTAGAAGTGATTATATTGTTACGTTGCTTACTATAGTTTATTTTGAAAGGCTAACAGTTTTAGCATAAAGGTAAATTATAGTAACAATATGACTAAGAAGCTAAATGGATCATTTAGAATTAGCTCATGGTAATTATATTACATGGTCCATCAGATTAAGGAGTTGTGTAAGTATGCCCATGCAGCCCCAAGAATTGCAGGGTGGACTAAGCCAAAAGGAAACCGGAAGGGCCTGAAAAACTTAAGAATTGCTGACACATTACCAAAGGGAATAAATGTAGGGGGCCCAATTACTTTTTATGTGTGGGAAGGATTTTTTGTAGTTATGCCACTGGCATATCCACACTGTTAACAATGTTTAATACACACTTTAACACAATCTACAAATGACAAAACTCTACAACATATTGGAACACATTAATTATATACAGACATAGAATTTGTAATTGAAAACTTTGAGCTTCAAAATATTAAGTCCGGTTTTAATGAAACATACCAAGGTCCTCAATGTCAATCCTATGGCAAACTGTATCGACTGGAAGCTGAAACACAAAAACATGGCAACTGAGTGATTAACTACCATGTAATAATATACGACGATTTCCACGTTAACCCCAAATTTAAATTACTGAGGGGGCTCATAATCATAGGCTTTCTAAACACATTTTTCTGAACTATTAACGCACCAAATTACTTTTGGCTTTTAAAACAAATTTGTCTAAACTATTTATGCAACAAGATATTTGTGAATTTATTACTTTGTCAGTTACAGTCCCTAGTAACGTACCAGTTACACAAATTAAACAGACATACTATCAACGGTACAATTACATTAATTATTGCCGAAGGCCCCCTCTATCATGTTTTACATAATGAAGTAAATAATTCACTTGAATTATGCTCACAAGATAAAAAAAAGACCGCCAAATATATCAAAGTTAAAAAAAAGAAGATAATGGTATTCCTGCAGCTAACGTTTTTTTTTTTTTTAAATATATATTTCAATGAAAGCTCGTCCTGGGGAATTAAACCTATATAATCATTCTTCTAGATATAGAAATTATATTATTTGCATTTTGAAAAGTCCTGAGCATATTAAGTTTCTTAACTGCTTTAATATCAAACATAGATTACCTATACAGTGAAATATCAGGAAAAACAACAACAAATAAAAAAACAAAAAAAAACAATTACTTATTCGTGATAACAATTATCACAAATCTGAAAAGGACCTGATAATTACATTATTAATACATACATGTATTTTCTGGATTTTATGCCCGTTTTGATACTTTATAATATTTCTGTGGCATGTTTATATGTGAACTGTGTTTTCAGATATTTTCATTGTTTCTTAAACCCTACGGTTTACAGTTTCAGAAACTATGCTTCTAGTAAACGTATAAGGTTTAACGAAGGAATATCGTTTATAACTATCACTGCAATTTTCATTATGATTGTTCATCAAATGCATTCGTGGTGTGCAACATATATTTGTTTTTTAGCGTGTTTCTTTGTAACATCTGTATTTTATCTACTGTATTTAAATGTTTGTTTGTTGCTATTAAGCACAAAGCTACACAATGGGCTATCTGTGCTCTGCTCACCACGGGTATCGAAATCCAGTTTTTTTAGCGTTGTAAGTCCGCAGTCATCCCGCTGTGCTATTAGAGGGCATATTTAAATGTAATCCACACTTGATTATGAGCAAAACTGCGCTTTACAACAGTTTATTTATATTCCACCAATAAAAATAGCTGTTACAAAATTTTCTTTCATTCTACTCACTTTAAAACATCGATAAAACATGAACGCGCCAGAATCAGTGTCACGTGATATCTTGGTAACGAATCACGGAATTGAATTGTAGTCTTACTCTTATTAAAATATTTATGGCCCGGGCCCAGAAGAAAAAAAAGAACTATGTTATTTGTTCGTATTTCTTTATTTTATGCCTTCACCAAAAATGTTTTTAATCGAGTTATAGTTTTACATTTTTATATTGTAATTAAGTTTCCTTACTTTGGTTAAATTTATATAATTTTATCATTTTATAAAAAAGAAAGAAAGACATTTCACCCTTTTTGCTGAGAAATGTATTAAATCATTTATTCGAGTCCAGTGAGTCTTTTTTAACTTTTTCAAGAATTTATTAAAAAGAAGATCCTAAATTAGGACAGCAACGAGCTCATAACCCAGACAGAATCATAGCAGTAGCCATTTTAACCTCACAGTATAAGCGTAAAAACGTTAATAAAGTAACAACAAACATCTATTAAATCTATAAAGTAACAAATACATATTAATTAGTACTCAAATTATTATTTCAGTCGTTCTTAATGTATCAAGCGTCTATATGCAAAGAAAAGCCAAAAACTATGGTTTTTGTCATTAAATGAAGATATAGCCTAAAGAAGCTTTGTGCGCTTTAGGGCATAACCAGATTTCATTCGCCCGGGCTCCTGGGCAGTTGCCCCCCCCCCACGTCGGCGGGCCTGGTTGTAGCATAATATATTAGATTTGTATTATGACTATTTTATAAATCAAATAATATTTAGTAAAATCCATACCTAACGTATATTCTCAATTCACTGATAAATATATTATTCATGACACTCTGAGTGTATATATATAATGATAACAGCATTATTTTTGAACAGATTGACAGTAAATGAAGTAATTTCAAACATATTTCTTTATAGATAAAATATGTTTCAATGTTGTTGTTTTTCTTTTTTTATGAAATTTCTGTCTTTCTTTTTAATCAGGTAAGTGTCTGGATATGGAGGGCTCAGTGGTCTCGTGGTTGGATGGTTTCGAGTTCGAGGCTGGCTCGTACTGTGCTGTGTTGTTATGTCCTCGAGCAAGATAGTTCACCCTAATTATTTCGGTCTACCACAAGTTGTATGATGGTACTAGTTGTTAGCCGGGGGTTAACCTGTGATGGGGTAACATCCCCTCCAGGAGAAATGTGTCACCATTCTTATCCGCTTGTGCCAAATGAAGCCGGAGCTCAGCACCGGATCCTGTGTGTCTAAAATATGAGAGCGTAATATATTCTAGCGTAATAAATATGCATAACTATTCAATGCACCAACAGATTCAAAATATCGCATCTTTCTTATTTATATTTTTGATTATGAAATAAAAAAATACGATCTTTCAAACCAGGTGGTGCTTTGAATCTGAGAGTGCGCTAGCACTCTCTCTATGTAGGGATGACACGGACGCCGGTATAAAGCAATACAAAATTTATCTGGATTTTCTTCTCTACAGGTCATAAGAAGCTAGATATGAAGAGATACCTGGTATAGTCGCTCTATCTCCGGTGTATATGCCGCTTTTCAGCTATCCAGAGCGTCCCAAAGTCAAAAACCGGCAAATAGTCAAAACCGAGATTTTTTATTTTCGTTCATCATCATTTGGTAGAGCAAAAAAAGTCTTCACGATCTTTGACTACCTATTTTATTATTATTATATGTAAGATTTATAAAGCTTTAGAATACACTCTATAACCTAGTAACCCACGTACAGTATAAAGAAAAAATATCGCTAAATAGAAAGCTATGCAGGGCTGGCTACTGACTTGAACAAAGGAGCTAAACAAGATAAGGATGGAAATGGACATATCACTTGATCGGCTAATGATCACATAGCAGACTAAGCTGTCTAGACTTCAGTGGCGTAGCAAAGGTTCTCAGGACCCGGAGGCAAAGACACTAATGGCGCCCCACCTCTGAAATGTTTTGTGACTCATTACCCACTTAATAACAATAACATAAAGAATTAATTACCGCCTTACACAGGCCTAAAATAAAGTCACAATATAACATCTCACGATATCACATCTGTAAACCTGGAATTAAAGAAGTATAGCCTACTAGGTGTATTTACATAATATGTAAACCATTTTGATATTTATATCATCCAGTATTGTTCAAAGTCACATAGCTAGAGTAATCTTTCAAGCATGCAGAATAAATTTCTGTTATATCCCTAGTTTTGAAACTTATGTTTTATATGACAAGCCAGTCACTTGTGGTGTACATGGATTATAAAACAGATTGATAAAATACTACTTAAGTTTACAAATAACAAATTTTATTAGTTTACAAAACTGTACATATACTTAACTAGAACTTGTACAGGTAGCATTTTGGTATTAATGGTTTCATTATATGAACCTCTCGTGCTTTTGCTGCTGCAAATGCATCAATTAAACTGTCAACATTTAAGGTATTAAATACGTCTTTTTCAGTACTTAATATTGCCAAGTTACTAAGTCGTTCTTGAGTCACTGAGGTTCTCAAGTATGTAAGAATTAATTTCAGCTTGCTGAAGGACCTTTCACAACTAGCAATAGAAACCCCAATTGCTAACAAAACCTGCAATGCAATTCTTAGATTTGGGAATACATCTTTACCATATGAAATTATAAATGTTAGCAAATCAGTTACAGCTATTGGTTCAGGAAAATCTTTTACTTATCAACATTCTACATTCTTTAATTTCTCTGTACAATTCTGGTCCATCAATATCACCTAGATAGATCTTTGCTAAGTTAGAACATTTTTCTTGCACGTTTCCGTCTTCGAAATCTCCAGAAACAACATTTTGCACATCTAGTAGAAATCCAAACCGTGAATCTAAATCTAGTAAGCGAGAACATCTTCCTGTTATTTCTGTAATCAAGCGATCAATAACATCCTTC